TGATGCTAACGGTGGAGCTTAGATTTTGAAGTTGTTGTCCGACCGGAGCCAGCACTTTAACAACTTAATCATATTTATAGTCCGTCATGGATGTTGTTTTTCTTTGTGTTTGTAACATAGTAAAATGTGACTTTTTTAAGGGGATTGAATATCTCTGGGATGCACTGTAAATCCCTCTCACCTTATAGGCACTGATTTTGACGCATGTTGCTTTGCTGGAAGGCCGAGTGTTCAAGTTCTGGTTTGTTGGGGTGTGACTGGTCACATTTAGGGGCAGAACAAACCGCCGTGGGAAAGTCTTGTCATTGGTGTTATACAGCTGGAAAGATCACAGAGGAGCAGATTGTTTTTGGTGTCTTTAGTCAAAGAAAGTATGGCGGTTGACTGATTGTCTGAAAGGAGAAAATAGGTTGCTCAACACAGTCTGGTTATGTTGTTTTACTGACTTCATCTAGTGCCTCTCCTGATTTGCGTAAGTTCTGGATGAGGTAATTGCTGATGGCCTGGCCGCCATCTGAGCAGCACATATCCAGCATCAGGAAGCCGTCCTCCTCGAAGGCATTGATCTGATGGAAGGTGGAGATGGCTTTGGTGTGATACTTCATTGGAATGACCTACAGAGCAATAAATAAAATCATAAACTTTATGAAATTATGACTTTTGGTTTTAATTTTAATTCTTGCTTCTCATCAGACCTCTCCTGAACGCTTGTCAATGAGATGGAAAACAGTTTCCTGCTTTGGATCCCAGTATATTCCCTGATTCAAAGCCTTTCCTCTGATCTTGCAGGTGACTATCTTCAGGAGGTCCATCTTAATTGGCTGCTCGATGAAGACCACATAGTTCTCAGACATGGCTGGTACCAGAAAGAATGGCAAGGAGAGAGGTGCGTTAGAGCTGAAAGCAGCAGCAAATGGAAAAGAGTTCAAAGAAGAGGTACCACGAAGCACGGCTTTACCAAAGCTGTGGTAGTAGGAGGGATGGGACTTGTTTGCTGGAACAATTGAACAAAGGACTTTGGCTCCCTGCAGGGTGTCTTTGCTTTCTGTTTTCTCAGGGGGGACTTTGATGATGTTGTACAGTGTTCCTAAAACATAAGATAAATCATTGGCTTTGTGGTGAAATTTCTAAGTTTTTATTTAAAAAAAAAAGTTTTTGTTTTTTTTACATATTTGTTAAAACTATCACTATGTCCATACAGTATAATTTGAGTAATAATATGTGAAAAAAAACAAAATTCTTACAGTGCTACTATCGCCAACCATTCAGCGCCAGAGCGCATTAAGTTCCAATTTTTGACGCTTATGGAACCCCATAAGAAGGAAGGTTTCCAGTTTGCTATAGTTGCTAATGGTGGAGAAGCAACTTACCGTTACAGAAAAACAGTTTATCCACCGTTATCGATGGCTATGCTAAATGTAGCAGAGCAGAGAACAAGCGGGAGAATCTGGTAGTTTTTTTTTTTCTTTTAATAAAAAACTTTGTCAGGACAAAGTGACAATTTAAAAAAAAAAAAGTAAAAATTATTTTTATAAAACTTATGAAAAATTAAGATGTAAAACAGTAGAAAATGTGTGCTTCACTAATGAATTGGCCTGACCTCTGCTTCCATAGGAGTTGCCCATATTGTAGGCAGTGCCGTCTGGGTCATAGTGGGGATGAGCAGTTGCTCCATTCACAGCAATGAACTTGCTCCAGTCAACCTGTAAAGCACAAGTAATGTCACAAAGTAATGCACAGCGGTGAGTTCCAACAGAAATTTTCAAGTCTTGCCCCTGAATTAGATTTAGGTCTGGACTTTGACTCAGTCTTCCATTATAGACACATCTATAGATTTATTTTATGGAAGAGGAGCCTCCCTGCAAAGACCTTTTGAACAGAAATCAGAAGATGATGATCGTAGTTTCTAAAACTGTATAACATGATGGAAAAATATGTTGCACAACATTTAAAAATGGAGGAATCACCTCCAAGCTCTTTGTGATGACTATAATAGTACCTTTTCCAACATTTCCAGGTTTTCCGGGTTCACTTTGTGCATGAAATTTGTCTCGGTGCTGACATAGTAGTCACCCTTGTATTTCACAAAGCTCACACTTGCATTATCTGTAGGTTCTGGAACAGAAGAAAACATAACTTTAGCTTCTTTTATGTTCATGAAACAGAGTTTTCAGCTTGAACTTACTGTGTGGAGTTTGGTTATGTAAAACATTTTCTCCTCCCTTGCGTCCTGCTATATTTTATTATGCAACTGCAGCACAGAAAATTCCTTAAGAGGCTTTTCTCCAACACAGCTGGAGTCCAAAAGAGTTTGAACAACCAAAGACTTTGAAAATATTTTGTGCACACTTAATCAGAGCTAGATAGCTAGCTCTTCTCAAATGTTATAGTTTCTTTTATAAATCCAAACTCTTTATTCTTGCTTAAAATAAGATTGAAAATAAGAAGGAAACACTAAAACTGAGAAGGATTCTTAGAGAAGTAAACTTTGTTCATTCTTCTCCATCCTCTGTCAAATCAATATCTAATAATCCACCCACTACACTCACCCATCATCTCAAAGCGAGAGAGAAATCTCTGGAAGAAGTTTTTACATGGATCAGGCATTGCCAGGGTACCGAACTCTGACATCATGATGCGGTCTCGCTCGCTGTTCTTCTTGTAGGCGTCGCTCTGTAGGAAGCGACTCTTATACGTCACCTGGCCGTTCTGGATCTTAAACTGGTGAAGCATGGCCATCCCGTCAAACCAGTGGTTGTAGCTGTTGGCAAAAACAAATGCTGGGCTGGATGTATAGAATTATATTTTGAAGAAAACAAACTGAGACCAAGCAGAACCAGAATGATGCAATCTGAGCTAATTTCCATACTCACTGCGTATTTCCAAACTCAAACTTCCCTGGTCCATTGCGGAGGAAATTACCATTGATCCAGGATGGGATAGTGCCTTCAACTGTGGTGGTGATTGGTTCAGGGGTTTCCTCTACTGTGCTGATAAGAGGAGCAATGCTCTCTAGTCCTGTAACTACTTTGGTCTTGGCAGTAGGTTTGGCCACATCTGCAGAAAACACAGCCAGTATCTTAATTACACTCTATGGATATTAAAGTTCAGCTATAACTATTACTATTATAACTATTACTATTATCACTTTTATTTCTCTATCAAGCATCATTCATGTGCTTATTTGAGGGATACCTAGTGCAATACATTGCTCTTAACAATAAAGCTATTGTGATGTGGATTAGAAATCTTTTCCTTGAAGCAAGAAGATAAGGGATTCGATTCCTGGCTCAACGTCTGTCTGCATGGTCTTAGTGTGTTTACTTCATATACAAATGGTCTCTCACCAAGTACCATGGTTTCCTTCCACAGTCCAAAAATGTGTTATGCTTGTTAAATTAAATAGTCCCCTTAAATTGACCTGTAAAGTCATAAACTGACTTTACAGAAGTCAATTTATGCTGGACAAGCCCCCATTTGCCACACCTGACAAATGGGGGCTCGTCCGGGATAAATTGAAAATTGAATAACTAATTAGGCTTTTTTGGGGAAACAGCAGATCTCAAACTGAAGGCAGATGAAGTCCCTAAACAATTGACTGTTGTTTAGATGAATAATAATTAATGCAAAGAAAATTTATTTTAGAGCAATTTTAGGCTTTTGCTGTCATTTACTAACACTTAAAACTCATCATCTTTGTTGGTCTTCAACCATAGAAAACATCCACATGGTTTGCATGTTTCTGCACAGTATAACTGCTTTTCTAGTTACAAAACTCATACATGTTGTTTCTCACAGAATATGTACCTAAACACTGTTCAGAAAATGTTGCACAATATGTTTATGAAAAAAAACATTATTTGTAATATTTAGCTTTGGTAAAACTATAAAATATGTGTAAAACAAAATACAATTGCATAGCCATGACTTGCAAAAATAGTGTGATTTGTTGAATTTGATTGAACTCTGAATTTAGATTTCAGTAGTGGTACATATTTTTGTCAGCAATAGAAACTGTTTACACGAGTTTCTTCAATAAAGTGAATGTTATAATGGATAAGTGACAAACTTATTCTCTCCATAAAGATAGTTGCAAAAGTTAAGAAAAATCAATAGTTTTATTTACTGGATCTCTGGTGGCCTTCTTGCACAATCACTCTCTATAAAACATTCACATTGAAATATTCAGCCAGACATGCATTTATTTTCACTCACCCCTGAGAAACAAATGATTGATTCTCATCTGACTTTGAGTACTAAACAAAATCTGACATATGAACCCAATAAAGATCACACGGTTCCTGTTCCCTCTGTTTCTGTAGGCAGCTGTTTTGTTTTTCATAGAAACAGTAAAAATGTAGCTGACAAGTCAACTCCCACTCTCCTGAGGGTTCACACTGCAGGATTATTTCAAGGAAGAGATTGCCAAAATGAAAACTCAACATTACTCAAAACAGAATTAGTCTCAACTGAACATCTTTCCAAAAGTGTGGCACTGTGCTAAAAAGTAAATTAAACATAATAAAATGATAAAACTGACTTATTAGAGACACAAGCTTACAACCAATGTCTAAAAAAACAACAACTTGACAACTAATCGATTAAATACAAATGCTGAATTGCAATTGTGCTTTAAAGTAGCAATAATGTTAAATCTGAGCTTTAAATTTGAGAGAGGAGTGACTGACTGTGTTGGAGGAAGATAAACATCTTTGATTTATGAATTTTGTACCATTTATTGGGAGCTTAGCAGAGCAGTCTTTTCTTCCTGGTGTTTTTAATTTGGTTTAACAATGCATGAATGTTTAACCATAGTGTATATCCTGTGGAGGAAAGCACTGAACTTTTAGCCATAAAGACACCGACACATTTTTTTTTTTTTTACCAAGCTCTCCTTTCCGATGTGTTTCTGTATTTACAGTCCAGACTCCAATGTTGCCTAGCTACAGCATAAACAGGATTTCAGCCATCTAAACTTGATCTTTTCACTTTTTCAACAGCTGGTTGCCTGCAACACAGCAATTAGACCATAAACTGACTCTCCACACAACATGGAGATGGATACCATCTGTTGCTGTGGGAACAACACTCTTCTCTACCAGGAAGGTACGCCGTTTTCCTAATAATACTACTCTAAGGATGTTTGCTTAGAAAAACAACCTTAATGCACACCAGCAGTCCTGGTGTGCATTAAGGACTGCTGGTGCACACTACTACTTTGTAGTAGAATTACCAAATTCTGAGTGAATTTGGTAATTCACTCAGATAAAATTAACTTAGCTCAGGACCATGTTGACGTGTTAACAGATAAGAGAAGGACTTTACAGAATCAGCTGGGCCAAAACAGCTTCATTGTTTAGAGCAATGTGCTGCACTAGCTGTCCCTCTATCAGGTTGGTTTCTGCCAACTCAGGTGAGCGTCAGCAGTCGCTCAGGTCTACATTCACATGTCCCACATGTGCACCCAGACCTACGCATGTGTGAAATAGGCCAGGGAGGAGTTGAAGATGCAAGCTGAAGCTGAGTCTGATTTTATGCAGTCTCAGTATCTCCTTCTATCAAACTCTTTGTTCCTTCCGATCAAAACTGAATTTGTGCTTTTTATATATTCTAAAATTCATTCTGGTGCAGCTGAACTCTGCATGTCATAAGGATGAAAAAAGGGTAACGATATGTCCAGTCAGACAGAGGTTTCTAGAATCAAACGTTCAAAGCACAGGGAACTATTTGAAACTGCTGCAGATGTCTGTACACACTCTTCAAACAACTGTGTATGAGTTTTATTTTTGGCATGCAGTCTAAGAGTTTAACAGAAATCTCAAGTTTCTGATTACTTCTGATTACTGAATTTCAATAACATTCATAAACGGGATTACACTTTGCAGAAAGAGGTACTATTGCTTTGTAGTAGAAGTAGCATAGTAGATTTAATAGTACATATTTTTGTTTTTTGTCTTCTGTGCTACTACACTATAATTTTGCTTTTCTAGTTGTGCAGTTCCCCTAAAAGAGTTAAAGTGGTTTGTTTATTGTAGCTTTTCAAACAAACTAAATGCCAGTCTTATAAAAACCAATATCAGTGTAAAAACAGCTCAACTAAAAGGCATGATGCCTGCAACCAAGTCTTAATTTAATTTAGGAGAAGTGCTAGTGAGAGAGTGTTGTATTCAAACAAGATGCTGCGTATAAAGGTGAAACCTGATACCTCCAGAGTTTAGCTGCAAAAAGAACATTATGTCCTACAAAGTCCACAAAAAAAAACCCTAAGCTGATTTTTAGCATATGTTAAAAAAAACTTGCATAAATTAGACGTAGTAAAGCTCTACTATAAGATCAGTGTGCAAGTAGCCATGTTGAAATCATAGTGAAAGCACAAGCAGGTGAACAGCTGCTCTCATTCTTTCTTAAAGTACAACATGCAGGAAGCTCACCTGGATTCTCCACCTCAACAGGAGCCATCAGAACGGATGGATGGATGCAGATCCTCTCTGCTTTATCTGAGATCTGTCCGATTATAAAACGTTTATAGCTGTGTGGGAAGGGTTTCTTCTATGCTGTGCAATTGCTCCGCCCCCTCCTGATGTCAGCTCAGCTCTGTGGGCTGTTGTGCAATGTCAGCCGAGTGTGCAGCACAGCGAAGCCGCGGCGTTTGGATTATATGATACCTTACTCCAGGGAATTAACCCTCTGCTGTGGTGGCAGGCTGCTGCAGTAAGGGAGACGTGTGCATTTAGTATAGTTTTATTTGGCATTTTCTCACATACATACCAAGTTACACGATTTTACATAAGTGGTAGGGAATAGGTTTCTGCATTTTCTATGTTCAGAGTCACAGTTGATCTTGTGTGTGTTGACTTTTTAGGATACGCTTGGTTAGCTGTGTTTTCAAGTCAAGGGTGCCAGAACTTTTTAAATTGGTGAACAGATGGAGGCTACAACTCATCAACCTTTTACATCTGTTTTTTTTTAATTATTTATTTATTTATTTTATTTTTTGCAGAATTTAGTAACTTACTAATGATCTGAATGACCAGATATTTACAGTATTTCAAACCCAGATATTTGCTTGATATGAAAATTTATTTATTTCCATCCTTGGATGAATTGGTTGTTTTATTATGTGCATAAACAGCAAAGTGAAGTATCAGCAGCTTCTCTCAGGCAGTCAGCTGTCCATATGGGCAGCAGCTTTCAATCCAGATAATCTTTGCTGTAGGATTAAAGCGAGTCCAGAAAGCTTCAGGAGGAGAAGCAGGACGGTTTCCCAGCTAATATAGACCCAGTCACATATCAGGTACTGTAGTCCTATATTTTGCAGTCACAACATTATATTTCATGTTCTACATTGCGATTAGTTTTAAAATAATGCTCTACAGTTTAGCAGCGAGTTGTTTTAACACCCTCGATCTAGTTTATCCGACCAGTGTACTGACCTACGAGTGATTCTAATATTTATATTGACTGAGTGACTCTAAACTTTGCAGCAGCCAATATTTCATAAATACTGAGCTGTAGATGTACACAAAAAGCAAACTTTGAGAAATGTTTATAAGACGGATGCAAATACAGACAATTGAGCAATGTTAACCTGGAAGTAATTATTGATGGATTATTCATGCATGCAATAAATAACTGACTGGAACAGATGGAACATTTTACATGATAAATATTTTAGCTTAAAAATTTACTTAAAACTACAATACTGGATTTACTTTCTCAATTACTTTCTTACCTTGAATTAAACTTGAATTTACAGTTTCGCTTATTTTTTTTTACTATTTTATATTTCAAAGTTACAGTTTTTTTTAAAAAAAAATAGATAAATCTACAAAATTTATTAATGCAATTTATTTTAGTTTGGTCCTCCTGGCGGCCTGTCGACGTGAGAAAATATTCTGTTGACACAGACTTCAGTGAACAAAGAAGTATTTAATTTTAACCAAGCCCACGTCAGAAATGACAAATCTGTGCTCTAATCCGGAGGAATCTCATGTCGATGTCGAAGAATCCCTGCTGATCCTTAAACACAGGCTCTTTTATTGTTTTCCACACAGCATCTTTACATTCCTCAACGCATTGGAAGCCGTCTTTTCTACAGGCACATACTCCTCCAATTTGGCATCAATCGACCACATCAATCAACTGATTGCTAAATTAAAATGATATGTAATCATGTATTTTAAAGTTATTTTTGAAGAAATCTCTCTCACTGTAGTGACTTACCTACATACCTCCGCTTTGCATCTAATTATAGCAAATTTCTCTTTAATGTGTGTTTTTTTTTTTTTTAATTAGCGTATCTTTGTTTTCCACAGGACGTCATCTTCCATATTTTTGTGATGCCCTCTTCAAAGAGCTCCGCTCACTGGACTTTGTTGGAGTTATTTGGCCAGCGGAGGCTCCTGGGTTTTGGCGCCATACTGGCATGGCTCATCCTGTTCCATCTGCTGGTGAATGTGTGGCTGCTCTGCGTCTTCACCAGCCTCCTGGTGGTTCTTGGTGGTTGGCTCGGGTCCCGAGCTGCCCTGGACGCTAACAGCTTCCTACATCTGGAGCATTTTTTACCCCTGGGGAAAGTTAACCCTCCTCTGTGTTCCCCTGAGCATGAGTGGAGGCTGAACCATGAGATCCACTGTGCGGTCCACAAGGCAGTACGTGACTTCGTGTCTTCGTGGTACCGCACCCTGCTTCCTGAGGTGGAAGGAGAGTTTGAACGAGCCGTGCGTCACTCGATGCTGGAGTCTGTGATGGAACTGAAGGAGCGTGCGCGGCGAGTGGACAGGAAAGCTCTGGTTCAGCGGCTGTTGGAGCTGTATGGCTGCCACCTGCAGAGCTACATGACTGTCAGGCAGATCCAGTCGGCGCAGAAGGAGAGCAGCGGCCTGTGGCAGCTCTACAGTAAAGTCGAGTCTCCTCATCCAGCCGTGAGCAGTTCCACCGCTGAGCTCAACTACGCCAGAGCTTTGGTTAAACTTGTGTTGCATGTTCTGGTCCCATACCCTCAGATGGAAACGAGGACCGGGGGTTACATGGTGACAGAGCTCATCACCTGCAATGTGCTGTTGCCGTTGATAGGCAGGGTTTCCGATCCCGACTGGCTCAATCAGACCATCGTGGACATATTCACCAAATCCAGAGAATCGCAGGATATTAGCGTGGATGACCCCTCTGTTGATGCACTGTATAAATGTCATGAACATGAGGAGTCATGGACTACTTGCAAGTCACTGTCTGTGTCCGATCAGACCGATTTCAGCTCCAAGAACACCTCTGTTGATTTAGATGAGCCTCAGAGCCAGAGTGCGATCTCTGGGACGGACTCGTCTCAAAGCAGCCTGGTCAGCCTGACGTCTCCCAGCCGAACATCCAGCTACCACGCAGGCTTCAACACACCGTCCAAGATGAACTGCTGCTCGCTCACATCGGGCCAGTATAAACAGTCATCGGAGAGCAAAACCGTTTCTGCAGACCCACTTATCCATTCGGACTCAGACGATAACCTGACAGGAAGTGTTTGCGATGAAGAAGCCTGCGGTTGTTTTCGACCTCTGAGAAATTTTGGATCGAAGGTGGTTGAGCCCAAAGACTCCCTGTGGCCAGCTGGCATTGCGCAGGACAAATCCCCAGTTTGCCCCCCAAAAAAGCTTTGCCTGACCACGTACAGCTTCGACCTGTCCAGCGGCCCGACTTTGACGCCATTCAGAGTCCAGAACATTCACATTTCTGGCACAGTCAATGTGAAGGAGCAGCGGAGCACCGGCACACATCCATACACACTCTACACTCTCCAGGTGCTTTTACTTACTGTTCGATGAATTTATATTAGATTTTCTGAACTATTACTATGATGATAATGACTGGAGATCCTTAACTGGAGACTTTATTTGATCAGTGTACATTATAATGGTTTAAAATATTGATTAGAACGACATCCCAGCTCTAAATTGCATCAATGTGCAAATAGAATAAAATATCTTATGGACGTCAACATGCTATTGAGTCATTGTTGGGGAAGTTGGGCTTTTGTTTGTACAAATGGACATTTTTAATATCTTTATTCGGGCAAATTTAAGACAAGACCAGCAAGATAAACAAAGTCCAGTTTTGAAACTTTAATTTCATGTTGGATCTGGTAACAGGTTATTTCTTGTCTAATTAGAAAAGATCAAGAGGGAAAATGTCAAACTGTATAACAACAGAAAGATTATTTAAGCTCAAATTAAAGGTTTCAGGAAAAATAATCTTTAACCACATTATTAATCATTTTAATCTTTAAGAAAACCACATGCTTAATCTTACTCTCCCATTACCAGTACAAGATTAAAAAATAGACTAATGTAACTCCTGATACAAAATGATCTTTATAGTTGTCTGACATGATCAAAAGTTTAACAAATTCTTACTCTAATCAAAGCTAAGCTAGTTTTTACAACATACTTTTATGTACAGGTGTGTGTGTGTCTATTTGTTAGCCATGCAGTTTTACGTTTATATGACCAAATCAAAACTAAAACCCATGTTTTTTTGTTTTTTTACAGTTTGAGACGGTGGCTGATGGTGACTGCACAGCCGCTGCACCACTGGCAGTGGGTCACTCTGTTAACCGCAGATACAGCGAGTTCCTCAACCTGCAAGCACGCTTGGAGGAGAAGCCGGAGCTCAGGAAACTAATCCGAAGTGAATGACGAATTACTTTCACGTCAAGTAAATCTTATTATTCCATTGAGAGTGCATCTTTATCTATAAATGGAATGCTTTTCAGATGTCAAAGGCCCAAAGAAAATATTTCCTGACCTTCCTTTTGGCAGCCAGGACAGCGAGAAGGTTGAAGCTCGTAAAAGCCAGCTGGATACCTTCCTGAAGGTATGTTGAAGACGTAGGTCTTAAATGCAAGGCGGTATATTTTATGTGCTCATGTTTTTTGCAGCAATTAAACAGCATTCCTGAGACGGCCAACAGTGAAGACGTGCAGGAGTTCCTGGCCATGAACTCGGACGTTTGCACGTATTTTGGGAGAAAGCCATTAACAAAGTCAAGAATTGATAAGGTAGCTAAAAACAGACAGAAGGAGTCAGATTTAGAGTATGGCAAACCTTGATTATGTCTTGTACTGTTTAACTTCTTAAACTTGCGACCGGAGATGATGGAAAACGCTTTAGATACTCTGAGGACAGCATTCCCTCATCCTGAGCTTTTCAGTCCAACCGAAGACATTGAGGGTGATACTGACGGAAGAACAATGGACTACAGAAAGTACAGGTGACAGCCCTGTTTGGTCAGTACTCTGTGCAGTCATGCCTTTGAAAAGATATATATGAAACGTTATTCTGTTTGTTTCTTTATGTCGGGCCTCAGGAGGCTTTTCCCAAGTAAAGTTTCTCCATCGCTCAATATTCCAGATCTCCATCCTAAAGTGACATACTGCTTCAGTGAAGGCAGCTCTGTGAGATAACACACTGAACACATTTGTAAAACGTGTGCTCCAGGCAGAAATCAGACAGAGCTGACATGTTCCTCCATTTGTTGTGACTGTTCAGGTGCTCAATGGCATGTCACTATGTGGCTTGGAGAACTTCGTCAGAGAGCAGGAAAGACTTATTGGTGGGCCAAACATGACAGAAACAGTCAAGCCGAGCTACGAGCTGAAAGCTAAAGACAAGAAGATATCAGGGAAAACTCATGGGACAGGTTGGGATAATGATACAGTGCCCTGCAAAAATATTCAGATCTGTGCTCCTCTAATAAGCCTTTGTTGAAGTAAACCATGAAAAGTATGTGTAAAGTTTGCTGAGAGTCGTGGAAAACACAGCAAACGTGTACAAGAATGTTCTCTGGTGAAATGAGTGCACTTTTTGGCATTTTTAAGCCAGAAAATGGTGGAAAACTAACTTTCCTCGATCACTGTGAACACATCGTGATACAGGAGAGTAATTGAAGCCGGTCAGAGTAGATGGTAAGGTTGATGGAGCTCAATAGAGCTGTGGGAAAATACTTTACTCTGCTGCTGGGACGTAAAAAGCTACAGGGAATTAGTTTATATTTATGTTGTGGGATGACCCAGTCACAGTCCAGGCCTGAATCCAATTCCTTCTTTTGCAGGACTTTTTGTTGAAAGTGTTCTCCATTTAATCATACTCAGCTTGGGCTATTTTGCAAAAAAGGGAGCATAAAACCCTTAAGAACATGGACTCTACTAATAATTTTTAAAATTATTTTTGCAAAGTGCCTCAGGAGAATATTTGTTGTGAATTGGCGCAATATAAATAAACTGAATTTAACTGAATTAATTAGTTTACTTCTGAAGACAGGAGTTATCCAGGAGTAATGACATAATGTGAGCTCTATCTGACAGCATGCCACACTTTACACAATTTTATTCAAATAACAGTTGCAATTATTTCCTTCCAGTATAAAATTATCTTTCACTTTGCGCATCATCTAACATTCCAATAAAATAAATCAAAGTGTTTGCAATCTGACAAAAAAAATGTGAAAAACGACAATGAATACTTTTGCAAGACTGTAGCTTTATCTGTACTGTAGCGCAGCAGTAACCTGCAGTGACTTAGTCTCTCCACTAGGGTGCGCTAGAACTCCGCCGCGTGGCCAAACCTGACCTAGTTGCGTTGTAGTATCCGAACCATTAATATCAAACGTTTTTAAGTCGCTGTGTTGACATGATTTATCCGGTGCGTATTTGTGTCCACCGCAGACACAGCTGTGGCAGATGTTGCTTTGAACATTTTGTGCCTGCTGATGAAGGATCACTGGAGCTGGCTCTGCACAGAGAACATCCAGAAGGCCATCAGACTTCTCTTTGGTACCTTCATTGAAAGGTAGTTGTTTTTGTTTTGTTTTTTTTCGTCTGATTTTGCACAGTAAATGCAAACAGCACTTCAAACATATAAATAAATGGCAACAGATGCATTTTCCAAGCATGTTTTTTGTTTCCCTTATCTTCAAATCTAGATGTGGGAAGCTGTAAAAGTTGTTTTTGAAAACTGTTCTAGTTGTGTCCAACATGTTTATCAGAGACTCTAAATACGCAGTACATAGAAGAACCAGGACTTTCCTGTCTTAATCTTTATATTTGGGTGTGGCTTTCTTTTTATTTTTGGCAACAATTCATCAAGATCCCAGATTTGTGCTTGTTTATATCAGAGTTTGACTGATAAATTGACCAAAATGCCCACACTTAATATAAAAATCTAAACTGTCCCATTTCCATTCCAGATGGCTGGACATAGGCGCTGCCCACCTAACCAGCGCCCCCTGCTGGGTGATTTACCTCCAGGTCCTGCAAGAAGCTGTGTGGCCCGGTGGGACGCTGCCTGCTCAACCCCGGCCTGAACGAAGTGCTGCTGAAAAAAAGGAAACCAAGGATCAATGTCTGAACTGCCTAATGCAGCTGCTTCCTGGTCTGTAGCAGCTTCGGGGTTTAAATTTACCCGTTGTGAATTGAAAGGTGTCTCAACGTGAACTGAGTTTTTCTTTTGATGCCGTGACAGAGCTAATAGCTGATATGTTGGGAAGCGAGAAGTACAGACTGAGCTTGGAGACCATGCTGGAGTCTTTACAGGACTATCAGATAAACAAGTAAGTCATTTCGGAAAGCACCGTGATTCTGAACGTTTAATAACCAGAGGAATTGAACAAAATGTGTTAATGGAGGTCTGATTCATGTATTTACGTCTCTTAGAGGCTCTTGACATTTGTCAGTGATTGTTTGTGTTCTTGTCTGCAGGCATTTGATCTACAGCATCTGTGACCTGCTGCTGGAGTTTCTGATCCCTGAGTCCAGCGATGTGACCTTTCAGAGATCTCTGCTGCAGAGCCTGACTAAAGACACGGAGAGAAACAGTCTTCATATGTGATAAACATCTGGGACACACTGAGAAATGTAGCCATTTGATGCTCAGCGCACATTATAGTTGTCTGATGAATATAACAAGGTCATAAAGTCTATCGTGTACAATCGCCATGGAGTCATGGTGCAGCAGGTGTTACTGCAGAGGATAATAAAATGTAAGTATGCAGTGATATAAAGACAGATGAAATGCTTTCAGACAGTAGCTGAGAAGAGAGAAATAATCTCATTTGTATATTTAGCTCGCTTAATCTGCAAGTTGGACCAGCCACATTATGAATACTTGAAAAGTTTGATAAATACAAAATTATGCTCTTTTTCTTGCTTCTTGTTCTTTCTTTCATGTGTTTTTATCTATGGTGTTTCCCATAAAGTTGGAATATTTTTTCTGTTTGTATTGTGGTTTCATTTTTAAAGCTACAAGTTTAAGTGCATGTCAAATATGTGCACTACATCTGCATGAATACTTTGTTTACAAGACTCCAGGTGAATTTACTGTGAAACAAAGTATGGAAAAGCAGTTCATTCCCACTTTGGTGCAGGATGTGTGATGCTGTGGGCCTGTTTCTGGATCATCATTGTGTTTTTTATGGGTCATACAGGCAGTTACCCAGGGTGGCATTACAATGGGGGTTGCATGAGGGACAAAAAAACAAAAGCAACTTATCTGTGAGTTGCAACTTCAACAGATTTGTTTTTTCTTTCACAGTTAAGGATGAGTTGGCATTCCATTGTATTGATTAGTGAAGATATAAATGGTCAACAGGACAAAAGCAATGTTTCTCCAGGCCTTCTCATTCCCAAGACCCAAAAACTATATGTGACTGTGTGAACTAAAAAGTAGAAAGAATAAGAGAGTCCGTGCAAAGAGGATTGTTAAAAGATTTTTTTCTGTATGTTCCAGCCTTGTGAAGAGAACACTGAGTGCTGCTGGATAAATGACTTTATACCAAGTATTAACATCCAGCATTTAAGTGTTTGAGACACTAGCGGTGTTGGCAAAAGACCACAAACGTGGCATTCAACTCTGGTGAATACATTAATTGAAATTAAGTATTTGTTTTGTCTTTTGATTCAAAAGAAAGTTGTTTTTTACTCTGGATGATCATTTCTGGGTTTATGCATTTTTTCCCTCTTACATCCAAAGCTGTCATAAAGATTTTCTGTTGTTTTTCCAGATGAATAATTTAGTTTTTATGTATATTTGTCATGCTACTTCAAAGATAATCCTGCTTTATAATACAACCATTATCCACATGGTTGCATCACATTGTTTAAAATTTGATCAAGGTTCTCAAAGAAACATTTTAAGTTGAAGCTTTACCCTAAAGTCAAGTCAGCTTTTCCCCAGAATGTCTTTGTATGAATACATTATTTAGATCTTAAATTGAACTCTTAGACGTGTTCACAATTAATGATTCATGTAAAATCTCTGATTAAATTTTAATCAGTAAAATGTGTCCAGTCAAAATGTCTAAGATCTTTTGGTTCCCCCCCTACTCCGCAGCCCCCAAAAAACCCCTCTTCTTCACAACCAATTTCTTTGATGGTGATCAGATTAACACTTTAATTGAATGATTTATGAAACAGCAGTGCAAATATTTCTTTTACGTTCGATTCTAGTGGTAGATTAAGAAAGGAGGCCAAAATCCCCAGCATTTGTGAACTGCTTCCATGTGTTAGTCTAACTTCATCTGATAGGGCACAAAATGTTGTTTTAAAGCCTAACAACTTAAGCTCAACACATAACACAATAAATATGGTTTAAATTAATGCGTTTTCCCTTTCAGTCACTGTTGCATCAATTTGTGTGGTCATTACTGTCACACTGCATGCTGCTAATATTTTGCAACTGACTGACACAAAGTGAGTTGCAACAATGGAAAAAAAAATTACACATATTGTGCAATGCATTGATACGAGTTGGGCCAGATTCATGCTTTCATCTCATTTATGCCAAAATCTTACTGTGCCATCTGAATGTTACGGATTCATTGGACTAGAAAAGCCTTTTCACACATATAATGTCTTTTTCAATCTGTTTTTAATTGTGAGCCTGTTTCTTTTATGAAAGTGAGGTTTTCTGCTGCAAAACGTTAAATATTTTGTGCATTTAGGGAAAGGCGTTCTGCATACAACTGGTTGTAATAAGTGTTTTTTGGACCTGGTGCTGCCTTTTTGTCGTCTGACTATTTTGTGTGAACATGAGATGGTTATGTGTGGAAAACCTGCAGTAGATCAGCTCATATGACATTAACATGCCCTGTTCAAATTCAGGAAAATCCCCTTTTTCCATATTCTGGCCGTCTACTTGAACTTCAGATTACATTCAGCCCGTCTGCCCAAATGGATTGACTCTGTACCATGTGACTGGTATTTATGGTGTCTTATGTGTTTTCTACTATAATGCTATCATTGGACAAGCGGCTCTAATAAAGTGGCTGGTGAATTTAAAAGTAACAAAAGTTTGGTTGATATTAAAGTGAAGTCTGTTCAAGAAGTGTGAAATCACAAAACGTAGAAGAAAATCAAAACTTTCACGTTAACGCATGCGATTATTCTAAAAACTTTAGCATGTTTTTATTACATAATTCAGATTATTGGTCTTTTACTAAGTTCATAAATGCAGAGTCATGAATGCAAATGAAACAATGAGTGAGGAGTCAAACTAGTGTGCAAATTTCTCTTTAAAAAACAAGAGAAATTTGTTTTTTAGCGATGGATAAAACCAAGTTAGTATGTAGCCCACTTATTGCAAATGTGAGTTATCCTTTCAACAAAGCACAACCAGTTTATAGTCAACATTTCTAAATTACGTTTGAAACAAAATGACTTCTTTATCACCTTCCTGAATAGGAAAACATGGAAAACTGAGATGTTTGGTTTGAGACAATATAAAAAAAAAAAAAAAAATATATATATATATATATATATATATATATATAATATATAAGAGCATGACTAATCTGACTACAGTTTTTAGTTGATTGGCTATTTGATCAAAATGTAACATATATGATCTTATGAGGCATTAATCTCCTTGAAGAAAAGCTGCTGAGAGAATATAACTCTACAGCAGGGATTAAAACCTTTCTCCAGTCTAAGCAATGTGAATTAGAAAAGCAAAACCACAGAATCAGAGAAGCTGCTGTGAAAGTTTGGTCAATCGTATGTTTTATTTTTCAGTGTTTCAGCAAGAACTTAAACTTAAAAACAGGGAGTTCGATGTGCTGTGGTGGCGAAGGGTAAAGCATAACCCCATATGGAGGCCTCAGTCCTCGACGTGGCTGTTTAGGTTCGAGTCCTGGCCTGATGACCTTTGCTGCGTGTCTCCCCCTCTATCATTATCCACTTTCCTGTCCAATCACTCTCAAATAAAGGCTCCTACAGCCAATAAAACCTTAAAAAAACAGTTGGGGAGCCAGTAAACAAGGTATAGCATCAAAGTTTATGCCCTTTTTCAAACCAATTTAAAAAGGAGCAATTGCATTCCAAAAAACGCGAAAAGGACAAAGAAAACTCTTCTAGATGAACAAACAGTGTACTGCAAAAGTCTAGTGTAAATTGGATAAATTATTGGACTATTTCTTCCAGGTCCTTGAGGAGCAGATTAAGTTTCACTTTGGCAAAACTGGTTTAAAAATTGCACTGATCTGTGTCTCCAACTTAAATGAGCTGTCAGAAATCCCCTCCAGATTTTTGAAAGAACTGGAACTTTGTGGAGCCAGAGACCCTGGAATAGACTTTCTAAATGAGATTACATTTAGTTATGCAAAACGAAGAAAAGTTTGATTAAATCCAGATCACAACTATTCAATGAGGTTTGCTAAATGTTTCTTTTTATGACTTTTGGGCAAATGAATTTGAATATTTATTTAAAAGGCCAGGGAAATAAAATGGCAAACCACAGGCTTCAAAGTCAAAGCTTTGAACATGTGGAGTAAAACTTTAGGTTTGTGTTAGTGACATCATTGTTTGTTCAGATGAAGACTCTGTCCCCCCTCGACCCTGCAACACCAAGACAATCAATAATGGACAGATAGATCACAGCAGGTTAAGTTTGAGCCTGTGGCACTGGTTTAAAATAACCAAATGATTAAAAATGAATACTCAAATTTAGGAATGCAGGAGTACGAAAAAATTGGGCTGATATCAATATGCGATATTACTATCGCTGTTATGGCTGATAACCGATATTTACCAATATTATATATATTTCACTACCGTTTTGACAAGTTTGCGAGAAAAACAGGTAGAAACGGATAAAAAATAAATATTGATTGTTCATATTGGCCCAGTTTTTTATTGGGCTGATATGGATATGTTAAAAATGACTAATATCAGCCAATACCGATGCTGGTGCTGATATATCGTGCATCTCTACTCAAATTATAACTATGTACCCAAAAATGCAACAAAAATAATCCACCTCACTGTGATACATCATTTTAACTTTTATTAATGTATACAATTGTATAAAATACCATGTTAGTAATATTTAAAATCATATGAAGGAGGGAGAAAATCAAAACAGACTTTGTTCCTGCAAACGCCTGCTAAAGTCTGGTCAAGTCAAAGCTATATGTTTCAGAATCATTAAAGCTAGAATGCAATATAAGAATCAATCAATTATTTAAACAATCAAGAGTACTGAGCAGCACCTCTAGGCCGAAGCACATCATCTAATTCACTAGCACAACAGGCTACAGAGCAGATGCTTGTACTTTCCAAATTGTCTTAATCACTGCTTTTATAGTCCTAATATGCTCTCCTAATTTTCTCAAGGTTTCATGAGTACACACAGTCCTTGTAAAATCTTCAAAAGATCAGCAGCAGGAAAGTGGTGGAAGATTCCTTAATTCTGGTTAGACATATTCTAAAATCCATAACAGAAAATGTTCAAATGTCTAAAACACCCTCTGGTGTAAAACCAGCTTAGGAATCTCATTCCTTTCACTGTTTGAGACTTTTTGCAGAAATGATGCAACTGTTTGTGATTTTTACCTTTTTGTTAAGGAAATAGTCGTGTATTAGGATGCTAGATATGCTTAACCGATCTGATGGCTGTATCTGGTAGCAGAACAGAACTGAAAAAAGAAACATAAACTTTCACTTGATTATATTTTCACACAAGAACAGCAAAATATTTAACACATTATGACAAGGTCCAGCTATTTTTTATTTCCCAAATGCACATAAATGTTTTCACTAAATCAATTATATAAATTGTCACATATTTGAGGATCCCATCTCATGGGTCACATGTGAGATAGTGCTAAACTTAATACTTCATTATCGATAATCAGTATCACCGAAACATTTCCTCCAGCTTTTATTATTTATATAGGCTACAGTTACCCCAACATTTTCATATCAGAAACTATTTAACAAACTAATTTATAAAGTGTTCACCTCTACGGCCACTGGGGTGATTTTGTTGACCAAAAGCAATAAATTTAGGAAAACATTGAACTTGGTCCTGAGATAGAATAGAATAGAAATGTCATTTATTTTCCCACAATGGAGAATTTCCTGTATAACAGCAGGACAGTGACAGGCAAGCACAGCAAATAGGCTCACACAAAGACAGAATGCATAATATATATCCATATAAACAAACAAACAAAAAAAAAAGAATTAAAATACTGTATGGCAAGGGTAAAATTTCAACATAGATACAAAATAGTTCTTTAAAAATATTTACAATTAGTTACCACAAAAAAACAGTAAAGTTGCAAAGATACATGGATGTAAACACTTACTGAGTTTGTTTGGAGCGGTGATGGTTATAAAGACCAGCCGCTGCTCCTCAGTGGATTTAGGATACAGCAATCTGTGATAGGATAATTAAGAAGAGACATCTATGGCGGTTAATGTATTTAAGTGCTGTCCTCATAATGCCTCATCGTTAAAAAAAAAAAAACAGATGGTCTTTTTATGTGTGCTGGGAAGCCAGCTGAAGGTGACAGTAATAACTTCAGCGAGTCTCACCACAAAAAAAAAAAAAACAACAAACCACAACTGAAAAGAATTAGTTGGACATAAACAAGGAGGAAAATAAAATTTTCTAAACCTTTTTATAATTTTTTATTTTTTTTATTTTTTGCTAGGCTGAAGTGGGTGACTTTATAGAAGAAAGAGTTGTCGTTCTAATCCCTACAATTTGGCTCTGAGTCTAATAATCAGCATTTCTCCCTTCTGGTTGTCTGTGTTAGCTCTTGCTCAAGATTTATCTGTAAATATTTACTTGGTACTTCAACTGGGTACACATATTGTATTCAAAATGCATATAATTGATGGTGAAATTCTGCAAATTCAAACCTTTCTAGGAACCCCGGTTTGAATTTGCCTTTAAAAATATCTCAAGATTTAAAAAATATACAAAATATACAAACTTTAATAGCCCGTGGAAATATGTTTCCCTCTGAAGTCAAAGTAAAGTATGAGTTGGCATATGTTTACCAACCACACATAACCCTGCAGTCCAATTTACAAG